TGTTCCCATCAGAGCCGATGTTCCCATCAGAGCCGATGTTCCCATCAGAGCCGATGTTCCCATCAGAGCCGATGTTCCCATCAGAGCCGATGTTCCCATCAGAGCCGATGTTCCCATCAGAGCCGATGTTCCCATCAGAGCCGATGTTCCTATCAGAGCCGATGTTCCCATCAGAGCCGATGTTCCTATCAGAGCCGATGTTCCCATCAGAGCCGATGTTCCCATCAGAGCCGATGTTCCCATCAGAGCCGATGTTCCCGTCAGAGCCGATGTTCCCATCAGAGCCGATGTTCCCATCAGAGCCGATGCATTGGTTTTGTTGCAGCCGAAATATGAAGCCAGGCTTGTGGTGTCTGGAGTTTGGAGTATTGTGGACGTATACGATTACTTTGACCAAGTTCGATCTAAGAAGAAACAAAGTCCTGGATGAGAGTGATTACTAGGGTATCGATGTCACATTTTGCTGTAGTTGATTTCTTTTTTTTTTAAAATTTGCTGGAAAGGGATGCTTGGCTGGATATCATGAGCTGTTTTGTCGTATTGGTGTTTCCGTTATAACCGCCATTTTGTGAGGGGGAGACTCACTGGCTCGACTACCGGTCCCTTTAGTCCAGTGGTCAGCAAATCGTGGCTCGCGAGTCGCATGCGGCTCTTTAGCGACCCGAGAGCGGCTCGGCTAGCCGGCCAAAAATTGATTTTGACTCCGAAAAACATGGTTATTGACAGGTTCTCGAAAAGAAATATGGCTCTCAAAAATTTTTTTATCGTTCCTTCTGCTGAATTTTTTAAAGCTCTTTTGACTAATGCGTTTGCCGACCAATGCTGTAGTCTAAATCGTTGCCTAATTGATCAGGTCTGGGTTGGAAACCGACAGTAAATAGTAGAGCCTAATTGATCATGTCTGGGTTTGAAAACGAAAGTTTATTTCTCCTACTGTGACGTATTTAATGCTCACGTCAGCTACTGTTAATCTCTTCTCACGTGATAGAGATTTCTCGAAATATTAGTTCACCTGTGTTTTAGTTTCATTATGGTATAGGGACACGAAGAGATAAGCCATCTGATCATGAAAGCAGGTGAAATGGGATACATCGGAGTGATTCCGTGCTCAGTAGATCTGTGTTACTGGACCTCGTTGCGTCTAGCAATGTGCTTGCTTTGACAAAAGCGCTCTAATTTTGTAAACTGTAAGTCATGAAAGAAATAACTTTTAAGAAATAATTATAAATAACGGTCTTATTTTAAAATCATTTTCATCGAGTTTTAAAGGTATATTTAAAATGACTATTTTCGAAAGAAATTCCTTGTCCTCTCTAGATTTCGCTGAATAAGATCACTACTCAAACGGCAAAGAGAAATTGTTTTAAAAAAAGCGCAAAGAAAAATAATGGTGAAATATTTTAAATTAAAAGATACATTAATTTCGAAAAAGATACCAGAGCATTGTTAATTGCCATACGTTCAATTTCAAGGCTAAATAAAATAATATGTGTGCAAAGAAAATCTGAAACAATATTCGCAAATTGTAGAATGACAAATGCCAACATATATCTAGATCTATATATATCTATATCTCTCTCTATATATCTAAATATCTATCTCCCTTTTTCTCTCGATATATATATATATATATATATATATATATATAGTTGTGCCCATCTAGGTCCTCTATTGGTGTCCTCCTAGTTGTTGCTTTCTAGTTGTGTAGACTGACAGTTGTATAGTTGAAAAATAAATCTTCCTGGTAGCATTCTACAAACATGTTCAATACAATCAACCTAATCAATAGTAGTCTTATCACGTCAGCCGCTATTTATAGCTTTACACACGAGGAAGATTTCCAGAGTTCTGTGCCCCTTGTTTTGGTTTCATTTTTGGGGATAATTTTTTTTATTTTTTTTTTTTACTTTTCAACATTTTTTAAAAACTACTTTTTAATTATTAAAAAAAAAATAAAAAAATTCGTATGATACAAAAGATAGAAAAAAATTATTTTAATAAAAAAAAAAAATGTATTTTTTCTTTTAAAATAAATAAATTTGTATGATAAATTTAAGCAGCATGGGATGACCATCAAATCAGACCTACTTCNTTTTTGTTTTTTTTTTTGGTAAATTTTTTTTTTTTTTTTTTTTTTTTTTTTTAAAATTTTTTAAAAAATAATTTTTAATTATTAAAAAAAAAATAAAAAAATTCGTATGATACAAATGATAGAAAAAAATTATTTTATTAAAAAAAAAAAATGTATTTTTTCTTTTAAAATAAATAAATTTGTATGATAAATTTAAGCAGCATGGGATGACCATCAAATCAGACCTACTTCCAAAGAGCCCACCAAAGACACAGAAAGTAATTAAATTACTTGCATCGTGATAATTCTTTAATGTGGAATTGTATATATGCATTAATTAATGGAGTATAAATGGAATAGCGTATACAAGTAACAGTGTAGTAGTTTTAGCTTTGTGAAACCATCTTTCAGATATCCTATTTAAGTATTTTATTCTAAAACCAGATATTTTACCCCTCGTCATGACAGCATGTTTACATTAACAGTAACATTTTACCCCTCGTGAAGAGAGTATGCTTTCACTAACAGTAACATTTTACCCCCAGTCATGACATCATGTTTACATTAACAGTAACATTTTACCCCTCGTAAAGAGAGAATGCTTTCACTAACAGTAACATTTCTCTTGTCTTTCGATTAGGCGGAAATGACCAACATACGTAATTGAGTTTCTTAAGGAGTCAATTTTTACAACGATGACCTGAAATTAAAAAAAAAAAAAAAACACTAAAAAGAAATTGAAGAGAAAATAAAAAGACACGTACCGAATTTTAGTATTTAGGTCCTGTTAGGTCACATGGTAGGTCAGTCTCAAGACAGAATTTAAAAATTTTTAAAACGATGATCAGAAAATAAAAAAAAAAAAAAAACACTAAAAAGAAATTGAAGAGAAAATAAAAAGACACGTACCGAATTTTAGTATTTAGGTCCTGTTAGGTCACATGGTAGGTCAGTCTCAAGACAGAATTTAAAAAAAATAAAATAATAAGGCAAAAAGAAAGACATGGAGGAGAATGTAGACTCGGGTTAAAATTACAAAAATGTCTTTGGCAGTTACGTTTACTTAGTTGCATTAGATCAAGTGTGCACCGTTTGGGGTAAAGCAAAGAAAAGAAGACAGAGAATGTCTGAACGAGATGATACAACGAAAGACAGAAGAAAGGAAAGAGATTACGAAAATGAAAAACCCAAGTCAACGGTTTTTAAGGCCAAACTTAAAAATAGGTCGAGAAAAGATTCAGAAGTGTTGCGAAGAGGAAAAGATTCAGAAGAGTTCCGAAGGGGAAAAGATTCAGAAGAGTTCCGAAGAGGAAAAGATTCAGAAGAGTTCCGAAGGGGAAAAGATTCAGAAGAGTTCCGAAGGGGAAAAGATTCAGAAGAGTTCCGAAGAGGAAAAGATTCAGAAGAGTTCCGAAGAGGAAAAGATTCAGAAGAGTTCCGAAGAGGAAAAGATTCAGAAGAGTCCCGAAGAGGAAAATATACAAAATCCTGGATGACTAGGGTATCGATATCAGGAAAAGATTCAGAAGAGTTGCGAAGAGGAAAAGATTCAGAACAGTTCCGAAGGGGAAAAGATTCTTGGAAGAGAAAAAAGGACCGAAATCTTGGCGTGATGCCAGACTCAATGAGCGGAGAGATATCAGGCGATAGAGGTGAGGTTACACCGAAGCCAATATCAGACGGCAGAGGTGAGGTTAGACCGAAGCCAATATCAGACGGCAGAAATGAGGTTAGACCGAAGCCAATATCCACTGAGATATTGAGGGAATGGGATGAAATGGACAATGTTGATCTATTGCTTACATCTATGTCTGACCAACGTGTAGGACTTGTAGAGCTGTTGGATCAGAAGCATTTAGAGGAAGAATGTGTCTTCTTTCTAATCAAATCACTTGTTCGATTCACTTCAGTTGAGCACGACCGTGAACGGCAAGACGAGCTCCTCCGTATCGTTTGTGCTGGCAACTTCTTCGATGTTCACATGATGACGTATGCATTTAGTGGACTTGGGAAACTGGACCGGAAAGATTTAGAAATCTTTTTGAATGCAGCGGTCACGCTTATAACGACAGTGATTGACCGGCTTCCCATCCACGCTGACACGTGTAGGTTGCTGTTGGCCCAGCTCATGAATTCTGCGAAACGTTCGAACCTGGGACGCTCAGATGTGTTCAAAAACTTGAGAGACATTCAAAGGAAGGCCGATGAAGTATGCAGAGTCGAAATTAAATCAACAGCACGGATGAAACCGGGAAAGAATTCCGAAGAAATAATTGAGAGCAACAGTCAAAACTACATCACGGTGAAAAGAATGATGGATGCTGGGTCCAATGAAAATGGGAGACAAAAGAGCCGTGAGCTTGAAAACACAGATACTTATCTCAGGAGGCCGATTGCAATTGGGATATTGAGAGAATGGAGTGAAACGGACAATGGTGAGCACTTGCTCACATCTATGACTGACCATTGTGTTGGACTTGTGGAGTTTTTGGAACAGAATCAGTTACATCGGGAATGTGTCTTTTTTCTAACCAAGTCACTTGCCCGCGTTGCCCAAGTCAAACATAATCAGGAGACCCTGGGGAAGCTTTTGAGGACCGTCTGTAAAGGTAGCTTTCTCAACCATCATTTGAACAGGTACTTCCTACAGGCACGGGGAAAGCTTGAAAGTAACGAGTGCGAGATGTTTTTGGCAGCAGTGGCCAGGTTTATATCAGTTGCTGTTGAACATCTCCCTGAATACGCTATAAAATGTATGATAGCAATATCACAGCTACTGTGTGCCGTTGAACAATCTGATGACCTGGCCATCAACCCTGAACTGTTAAAATCCTTAAAGGCCCTCCAGACTCGAGCCAAGGAATTATACAGGAGAGAAAAATCTTATGACGAAAAACATGTAGGCGTTAGCGAAACTCGAGATGCGGGCATGCCGCCTGATGATGTAGACAGCCTGTCCGTCATCCCCACAGCATCGGACCTACATAGCACGTCAACGCCATTCGTTCGGCCGGCTGTCATAACGGGGACCTACCGAGACATTGACCATTACATCGATGTCCAGTTCCGGCTGCTGAGAGAGGACTTCATGTATCCCTTGAGACAAGGCATCAGTGGTCTAAGAAAGAATGAAGGAAGAAAAAGTGACACAAGCACGCAGTTGAGAATGTACTACGGCGTGCTCATCGTCGGCACTCAGTTCAACCATGGTTATAATCAGCTGCTAGAATTCGATGTATCCAAACTTAAATATGTGAACTGGAAACATGACAAGCGGTTTATGCACGGCTCGCTCGTCTGCTTGTCAAAGGACCTTTTCCAGAACGTTGTAGTGGCAGTCGTCGTGGACAGCGACGATGCGGAGCGCGGGAGAATCAGCGTCAACGTCAGGGAAGGACTGGCCATCGTGTTAAACTCCACGGTCGATGACGTCTTCATCATGGCCGAGTCTGTGACCTATTTCGAGCCGTACAACCAAGTTCTTCATGGCATTCGTGAGATGAAAACGCAGCTCCCGTTTCAAGATATCATTCTGCATTGCAACAAACAGCTGAAGCCACCAAAATATTTACTGCCGTCCGGTGGGGTCAAAGCTATCCCGCATTACAATCTGGCAGATTTATTAGCCCATGACGAACAATCGTTTAAAGTCCCAGTACTCACCACCGTGAAATGGCCGCCGGCTGGAGTGATGTGTCTGAACGCGTCACAGGGAGAGGCCGTGAAGCTAGCACTGACCAAAGAGTTGGCAATCATACAAGGTCCCCCTGGAACGGGAAAAACTTTTGTTGGCTTGAAAGTGTTACAAATTCTTTTGAAGAATAAACACGAAGTCGCTAGAAATGTAGAAAATGCAAACGACCCGATTTTAATCGTCTGCTACACCAACCACGCTTTAGATCAATTCTTAGAAGGGATTTTAGAGTTTTTACCGAAAGGGATCGTTCGTGTGGGGGGAAGCTGCAAGTCCGCAAAACTGGAACAATGTAACTTGAAAAATATCAGGCGTCAGATGGGGAGACCACGCATTGAATTCGATGACAGTGAGATAAGAGAGGTTGAAAAAGATATTAACGCAACAAAGAGAGAAAAGGAGACACTAAACATTGGGATTAGATCAGAGAATGTTCTTAAAGATTTTATGCTAGAGAGTCACTACACCTCTTTGGTTGAAGGTTCTGAGAGTAGGCCTGAAATTTCTGGCAAAATGAGTCTTTGGTTAAACACATCTCACTTGTCCCCCATCCAGGCGATGCCCAAATTGATACAACAACGTCTTGTAGAGCTTGTGTTAAGTTGGAAGTATCCTTCAAATAAATTGAACCCACGACCTGACATGGACATCATCGACAGAGCTTGTGTCTACTGCAGTGTTGTAAAGCGGTACAGAGAAGGAATTCGAAACGAACAAACCTTTTTGTCTGATGAAAAGAATAGTGCGTCTAAGTCAAAGCAACTGAAGGAGTTAGACGGCTATCTACAACTATCTTACAAGCAAATTATGACAGACAGCTGCTTTGAAAACTACAAACTGAAATGGTTTTTAGAAAAACTCGAGTCGTTTTTGTATAAAAAGGAAAAGCTGAAAAGCACACAACTGGTCAAGACTTGGCTCCTTGGACCCCATAGGAGCCTCCACGAGCAGTTAGATGACATTGAGATCCTAACAAAAGAGATAAGACTTGTTAATCGGGATCAGAATAGTAGCAAAATATCATCTGCTTCTGCTGACTTAAATTCAGGCAGTAAGAAGAAATGTATCGACAAAAATAACCAGCATAGAAGCAATAGCAAAAGAGAAGCTGTTGCAGATGTCTGGCTCTCTGTCATCGGAAGAGCACACGAGCTCAAAATAGAAGAATCAGATACAGACAAGAGAGTTGGAATTAACAAATCGGGGGGAAAATCCCAATCGCTGGCATTTAAGGAGGCAACAGACAAATTATTAACAAGTGAAACTTTATCTGTGCAAGAAGAGTCAAGTATTGAAGATCTGTGGAGTCTAAAACCAGAAACAAAATTTTCCTTGTACAAATTGTGGTTGAAAAGGTACAAGGAGTCTCTGATTGATAAGATGAAAGAACTTGTGAAAAAACAAGAGCAACTTTTTAAATTCAAGAAGAACAAGGACACAGAACAAACATTGTCATTGCTGAAGTCAGCCCAAGTCATCGGCATGACAACAACCGGAGCAGCCAAACACAGGGCCGTCCTCCAGGCTCTGGGCTGTAGGATCATTGTGGTGGAGGAAGCTGCAGAAGTTCTGGAGTCTCACATCGTGACGGCCCTCAACAAGAAATGTAACCACCTGATATTGATTGGCGACCACCAACAATTGCGTCCGAACCCAGCCGTCTACCATCTGGCCGTCCATTTCGGCCTGGAAGTGTCCATGTTTGAGCGGCTCATCAAAAACAACATCCCGCACGTGACGCTCAACGTTCAGCACAGAATGAGGCCAGAAATCGCTAAACTCATGAAGCACATCTATCCAGACCTTGAAAACGACACATCTGTCTACGACTTCGAAAATGTAAGAGGGATTTCGAAAAACATTTTCTTCATTAAGCACACGATGAGGGAGTCTCAAGCGGACAAGAGTTTTAGTAGATCGAACACGCATGAAGCTAATTACGTGGTATCTCTGTTGCATTATCTCATCAACCAAGGATACGAACCAGGGCAGATAACGATACTGGCGACATACGTCGGCCAGGTGACCGTCATCAAAAACTTACTAAAACGTAAGGATGTCAGAGTGTCGGCGGTCGACGACTTTCAAGGAGAGGAGAACGACATCATCCTGTTGTCGTTAGTCCGAAGCAACCAAGAACAGAATGCTGGGTTTCTTAAAACGGACAACAGGGTTTGTGTTGCTTTGTCGCGTGCAAAGAAGGGACTTTACGTTCTTGGCAACTTCAAGCTCCTGGCCTCGCAAAGCAAGCTTTGGGCAAAAATAGTTGCGACCGCCGAGAATGATGAAATCATCGGATCGGGTTTACCCGTTTTTTGCCCGAACCACCCGAAGACAACCAGACAGCTGGTAAGTGTCACAGACTTTGACAAATGCCCAGAAGGAGGTTGTGGTCGGCCCTGCGGTTTCAGACTGCCGTGCGGACATACATGTGAACTCACATGTCATGGCTACGATTTGAGCCACGCAGAGTATGAATGCAAGAAACCGTGTACAACGAGGTGTGCTGACGGACACCCGTGCAAGCTTCCATGTTTCCGAGACTGTGGAGCATGCCAGGTGCCAGTCCGAAAAAAGATGCCTGACTGTGATCATGAAGATGTCGTTCTTTGCTCAGTCGCCCCCAAAGACGCCGTGTGTTCTCAGAAGTGTTCCCATGTTCTTCCGTGTGGGCACCAATGCTCTGGAAAATGTGGCCTCTGTAAGGCTAATCTTAAGCACTTTCAATGTCCCATATTGATGGAGCACACCTTCTCGCCGTGCGGCCACACCTATGACATTCCTTGCCACCAGGTTAATTCTAATATCCGTTGTGGTCAAGTTTGTCAAGACACATTGAGCTGTGGGCACAAGTGCACAGGGACATGCTCCAGTTGTCTCCAGGGAGCTGTACATACCATGTGCAGTCAGGAATGTCAGGCCATTCTTCCCTGTGGTCATAAATGTCATGGAATGTGTGGTACAGTTTGTAAACCATGCCCCGAGACATGCACATTTAAGTGTAGACATACTTCATGCAAGAATGCAACCGGAAAGCACAAACACACTTGCGGGGAGCCCTGCCTCCCGTGTCAAGAAAAGTGTGTCCGCAAGTGTCGTCACAGCTTAAGCAAAAAACTTTGCTCACAATCATGGAGCAGACGTCCATGTCAGCAAAAATGCGAGCGCAAAAACCGTAGATATAACCGCGGTGGCGCAGGAGCCAAAAGAACATTTTGCGATCATACTTGTGCTGGAGTCTGTGGAGAACTCTGCGTGTGTGACATTTGTGATCAAGTCAATACAATAGAGAAGCTTGTGGAAAGAGCAGAAGCGAGTAAGGGTCCTGTCCGAAACGTTTCATCATTGCCTTCAAACTCAAATAAAGAAGGTTTCGCAAAGCAGCGACTCATCTTGAAAATTCCCTCCTGCGAACACGTTTTCTATGTCGATGAGCTGGACGCTTACATTGGAAGTTTTGATCCTGATGGAACCAGTTTGCTCGTCTGTCCAAAGTGCTCTAAGCCAATCACGACATGTCTGCGGTACGAAGACGTCATCAATGAGAGGCGGGGGGAAAGGGAACGTTGGAAAGCCAGGACTTTAAAGCAGAACGAGATGACAGACAATGAGCAAATGAAATTTGGAGAACTGAAATTTCTGATGGAGGAGAAAGTACGCGTTTTTGATATTAAGATTTTGATAAAAGAACTGCCAGCAGATAGGATTACGCTCCGAGCGGCTTCCAACAGAATTAAATTGGCGCTTGTCTGGTTTGTAGTTTATTCTCTGCAGAGTGACAGTCAAGAAACCGATGATGCTCTCAACGATTTAAAAGATCTACTGATGAACGCATCTTTTGAGCTCACTGAACAGTTCTTACACGAGTTTAAATTACAGCTGCTTCGATGCGCGACGCTGAAGGTGATCGCCAGCTTGGAGGGTCTCATCACTGAGCACGCCTTAGAGATACCACGTGGCATCAGAAGCCAGCAGGACAAACTTCAGGGGACGCTCGGTCGTGTCGGCGTGACAGCGGAAGACGTTAGCAGAGCTGTAACAGTCATCCTGACGGTCAGCAAAATCATGATGGAAGAGTTAGGGACACATAAGGAGGGTTTCATGTTGATGATAAAAACGTTAAAAAATGTTATAGAAATTCTACAGTCTAAGGATGAAGAGGTAAGTGAATTATTTATGTTTCCGTACTATAAGTAATACAGATTAAGTAAAATGAATTTATTTCATAGCTGTTTCCTCAAGTTAGCTATGAATGCACATTCTGATTAGTGGCGCCATGAATGCACATTCTTCTAAACAAGCAAACAAAACAATCCGGCAAACAGACACTCTTGCACAAATAACTTAAGTCAATGGAAGTCTTACACTAGTCTATCTAGTTTCGCTTTGTAACAGATCAATAAGGCCCACAAATATTACAATCCCTTTAATTTGACCCATACAAGTGCATCGCTCGTATGACATGGAATCTCTTACAACGGCTTTGTCGGCAGATGCTGTGTGATGTCATCGACTTGGAGAGCTGTCTAAACCCGAGGCCACGCCAAGTGACCGACTCAGACCAGGCGAGACATCCCGTTACCAGACTGGCCGTTACGGAGGGCACCAACCGTAAACCACTTTATACGACCAGACACAGGTAAATATGGCTCTTTTCTCTGCCTGCCTGTCTACCTGTCTGTCTTTCTGCCTGCCTGTCTGTCGGTCTGCAAGTCTCTCAGCCTGCTTGTCTGTCTGCATGTCTTTCTGCCTGTCTTTCTACCGTCTGTCTGCCTGTCCGCCCGCCAGTTTGCCTGTCTATCTGCCTGCCTCTTTGTCTGTCTATCTACCTGCCTACATGTCTGCTTCTAAGTCTGCCTGCTTGACGTTCTGTCAGTCTGCTTGTCTGTCTGCCTGTCTACCCGCCTTTCTACCTGGTTGTACTCTTGTACCTGTTTGGTCAGCTGTGGCACGTTTGGTCAGCTGTCACCTGTTTGGTCAGCTGTGGCACGTTTGGTCAGCTGTCACCTGTTTGGTCAGCTGTCGCACGTTTGGTCAGCTGTCGCACGTTTGGTCAGCTGTCACATGTTTGGTCAGCTGTCACATGTTTGGTCAGCTGTCACATGTTTGGTCAGCTGTCACATGTTTGGTCAGCTCCACACATGTTTGGTCAGCTGTTACATGTTTGGTCAGCTGTCACATGTTTGGTCCTCTGTCACATGTTTGGTCCTCTGTCACATGTTTGGTCAGCTGTCAAATGTCTGGTCATCTTTCCCATAATTCGTCAGGTGTCACATGTTTGATCCGCTGTCACATGTTTGGTCTGGCGTTACTAAAACTCAATAGTAGGAAGCCCTACAAACATTACAGACAATAATATTTTTAATGAGAGCACGATACAGTTATCACAAGGATAAGATATTAGCTGACAATTTCTGAATCATTTTCATAAATAGATCTATTTAGCAGTGCCCGTGCACAGTAATGTGCTATCTCTATCAACACTGTTTCTCTGTTCAGGACGCCTTCTATCAACACTATTCCTTTATTCAGGGCAGAAACTCAATTCGGAGCATACTAATTCTTTGAATAAAAACAAATTCTGTTTTGTTGGCACGGAGCTTTTGAGTCTTGAGATCTCGGGTCACGGTGGGTGGGTGGGTTCGATCAGTGCAACAGATACCCTGTCAAGGCCCAAGTTTATTTGTAAAACAGAATGATTTGTTTAAATTTTGAATGCTTAAAAAAATTATTTAAAAATTAAAATGATTTAAGCCAGCCACTTTGTCTTATAAAGAGGAACACACTTAATACTACAATTATTATCATAATATTTTATAATGTGAAAAATGAAATAAAATAAACGAATGCTATCCCCCAGGTGGCGACCAGCTAGCCAGACAACATCATTAAATCCTGCCTTGTTAAATAAGATCGGACACTCTTCAAATGGGCGACATAAGAAAGCAGGTGAAAGCGCTGAAAGTCTAGAAGCTGATGCATCGAATTCTGATAACAAAATTACTGAATTTGATGCAGGACCAGATATCCTTAAGCACATATCTGAACTCGAACACACTGGCTTTGATTATTCTAGGCCAGTATTCCTCAACCACAAATCTGATCACCGAAAGGCTGGATTAAAAACAAGTAGACCACATTACAGATCTGAACAGCGGAAAACTGATGTGGATACGGTTAGACCAAAATACGTTTCTGAACACGAGAAAAATGGATTGGACACGGTTAGACCAAAATACAGATCTGAACACTCTAACACTGGCTTGGACACGGTTAGACCAAAATACAGATCTGAACACTCTAACACTGGCTTGGATACGGTTGGACCAAAATACATTTCTGAACACGAGAAAAATGGATTGGACATGGTTCAATCTGAAGAAAAATTTAAACACCGTAACACTGGATTCGATAATGTAAGATCAGAATACGAATCTGAACACCGAAAAAACGGATTTGATAGAAGTAGATCAAATTTCAAGTCTGAACACCGATGGACCGATACAAGAAGATCAGAAGATTATAATTCTAAATATCATCCAAGAAACACTGCACCTAATGTCAGAACGGAAAATGGTAAAAAATGTTTAAAAAAATTGCAAATGGAGCGAGCGATTCCAATTGACGCGGAAAGTCATGGCTGTGTGAATGACGTAAGGGACAAAGTGCCAGCAAATCGTCGCGAGGACAAAGGCAGTGACAAAAGACGACATAAACTGTCCCCTGCAAAGACTACAGTGGACGAACTGCTGGCAAGGTATCCATGGGGGGTTTTTAGTAATGATATTTGAAACAACTATCCCCTAAACATAACCCAAAAAATATTTGTAAAAATCTGATTCACAAGAGATTAAATTAACGAAAAGAAAGGCATCAAAGTCTAGAGTAAAAGTATAGCACCTGATCAGTGATTACAATCATGCTATAAACTAATACTCAAAGTAACAAATGTTTTGTTTGCTTTTTTAAAAATTGTGTTAAAGTAAACACTAAAAAGGAGAGAGAGAGAAACCCAACAACAATAAAAACATTTTTGAAAAAAATTATAAAAAAACAAAAAAACAGTTTCAAACAGAAAGTAAAGCAAAGTCAAGGACACTGAAGTAAGCAGGACATTTTAATGAGTGTGGAGACACTGAAACATTGATTCTGTGGTCCGGTGAATTAGTGTCAGATTATTTATATGTTTAGTTCATGTTTGAAGAGATTTTCTATGAACTAAAAATAATGCACACGAATCGGTAAATGTACATGAACAAATTAACGAATGTTAATGTTATGTCCCACTAGTCACGTGGTTTTAACTGAATTAATTGTAGTTTTCAGTGTTCTAGGACCATCAGATTTTCTTGGGATTTTTTTTCCCCCAAATTTTTTTTCATAAAGAGAGTTTAAAAAATACTTGTTTAAATATGAATCAATAATGATAAAGTGTTTGATGATAATAAATATTTATATATTATGATACAGCAGCAGGGATACTATTTATAACTGATTAATCATTTCTTACAACAGTTTTGTGTTGGAGCTGTGATGGTTTTTTTTTAAAGTTAAATAAATAGTTAATGCTTTATAGGTGGCCATGTATGGTATGTTTTTTTTTGTTGTTTTTTATTGTAGAAACTATTTTTTGATACTTTTCATTCAAATGTTCAGACAACTAAAGGTTCTTAGGAAAACTAAATAACTTATTCTCTCAAAGAATGTGTTCACCCTACGCACGCGGAGATGCATAAGGTAACTTTTGACGTCATCAGTGCGCCGTGCCTTGAGCTGTATTGTGTTTTAAAGTGAGGGAGAGTTGCTCAATTCGACAGCCTCACTCTCTCGTCCTTGCCTATTTGATCCAATGGAAGGACTACGTCAAGATGACAAGAACTAGACCAGGATGCAGTAGAGGACCAGCAGTGCGTCTTGTGATGTTTCACTGTTGTGTTCTTTATGCGTTCTACGGCACAGGAGTTTTCGAAATTTTCATCTAGTCAATAGCATGTCATCTACAGGACTCCCTTCCCGGATTCGATATACGAGTTTGCTTTCTCTTAGATGAGTTGCCATCTCCATGTATATAATCCTATTCACTAACTAAAAATACCGTACAGACTTGTGACGTATTTGTCGGCTGTTTAAAATCATTTCAATTTACCGAGTTAATTTTCAAATTTCCGAAATTTAAAAAAAAAAAAAAAAAAAAAAATTCTCAGCTTAATAACTATTGATAAAAACATGAACCGTAATTCAATTGATTTTGCTTACTTTATTTTCTTTTGCTGAAGCTAAAGATATAATGTTATAATGTATGTATATGCCAACGGAAAATCCGTAATTTCCTGACTTTAATTGTATTATGTATATGAATTAACTTATCCAACTTTTCATACTAAGTTCTGAATGAAATCGTATTATTTTTCTTCTCAAATAACGCGTACATGTTTTCTAAACAATATTGAGCCTTACGTGGAGTCTCAATCGTGGGCCCTATGTAGAGTCTGAACACTGGGTCCTGTTTGGAGTCTGAATAGTGGGCCCATTGTGGAGCCTGA